CCGCAGGGTGATGCCAAGAGAGGGGTCCAAGCGCAGTGCCCCCACCCCAAGGAGCAGCCTCCTACCTGGAAGATGCTGGCTCCGTAGGGCGTCCTCCAGGCGTTGAGCAGGTTGTCCTTGCCAGTGCTCACAAACCATTTACCTGCGGGGGGGACGCGGCGTCAGCAGCCCCAAAGTCAAAGCCCCACCAACTGAGCCCTGTCCCCGTGGGATTTGGGCGGTTTGCCTGCAGGGACTGGGGGTTTTGGAGAAATTGGAACAGTTTCTGAAGGAAAAGTGGGTTTTGCAAAGGGAAAAAATGGATTTTCTAGATGGAAAAGTGGATTTTTCCAAAGGGAGGAAAAAAAAATGGATTTCCCAAGGGAAAAATGGATTTTCGAAATGGAAAACTGGGTTCTCCAAAAGGGAAAACTGGATTTTGCAAAGGGAAAAAAAATGGATTTTACAAAGGAAAAAAAGGATTTTCTAAACGGAAAAAATGGAGTTTCCAAATGGGAAAAAAAAAAGAGGATTTTCCAAAGGGAAAGTAGATTTTCTAAATGGAAAAATGGATTTTTCCAAAGGGGAAAAAAATGGATTTTCCAAAAAGAGGAAAAACGGAGTTTCCATAGGGAAAACACAAAATGGATTTTCCAAAGGAAAACTGAATTTTCTAAAAAGGGAAATGGATTTTCCAAAGGGAAAAAAAATTGATTTTCCCAAGCTGAAATCTGGATTTCCCAAGCTGAAATCTGGATTTCCCAAGCTGAAATCTGGAATTTCCCAAGCTGAAATCTGGATTTTCCCAAGCTGAAATCTGGAATTTCCAGAGACGCCCGCCCCAGCCCCTATCCCCACGGGTTGTGTCCCACCGTGGCAGCACCGGCTCACCCCCATTCACAGTGACAGCCCCCATCTCCATCACCATGGGCCAGACCCCTCCCTGCTCAGCCCCTCTCTTGCCATGGTCCCCAGTCATTTGGGGGCCGCTCTGGGGCCGCGTGTGGGAGCGGAGCCGCTTACCGCAGTAGGCGAACTTGAGGGAGAGGACGCAGCTCTCGTGGAGGTGCAGCTGGTACTTGTCGGGCTTGGTGTGGTGCAGCACCTCCACGTTGCTGCTCTCCATCCCCACCGCCAGCCACTCGCCCGTCGGGCAGTACCCCAGCGAGAAGATCTGCAAGGGGGACACACAGAGATGATGCTCAGCATTGGCGGGGGCCTCATCCGCCACCTCTGCCTCCCCAAAAACTCCCCGACGGGGAGCGACGCCGATCGCCCCGGTGCAAACCGTGCTGGGGTGGCTTTGCCTGTGGGTGTCAGGGATTTGGGGGACAGGAGCTGCCCCCCGCGCTCACCTGGGAGGTGAAGTCGTGCTGCTGGAGCTGCCGCCCTTCCCGCAGGTCCCAGGAGCGAACCGTGTTGTCCAGGCCCCCCGTCCACAGCTTGGTGCCGTCGTGCGAGATGTCTATGCAGCTGGCGCCGTCCGTGTGGCCTTGGAACTGCCTAAAACCACAGGAAAGAACATGAAACGTTAAGGGATAGGCTGGGGAAAAGCCAACATTGGTTGCTTGGCGGGGAAGCTGGGACTCGGGCTCCGTCTCCAAATTTTCCCTGCACCATGGAGTCCCACCCAAGGAGCATCCTTTGCTGAGGCCGGGCTCATTTCATAGAATCACAGTCATTAAAATTGGAAAAACCCTCTGAGATCATCAAGCCCAACCTCAACCCAACCCCACCATGGCCATAAACCACGTCCCCAAGTGCCACATCCACAAGGGTTTGAACCCCTCCAGGGATG